GGTGTGGGTCAAGATGATCTTCACATTGCTGGAGTTGGGAAGTCACATGAAGTACTGTTTGTTTCTCCTTCTCTGGATGTTAATGCCAGTGAGTTGGCATATGAGGCATGCTCTGTACAAACTTCTGCCACATGGATTGTGTGTACTGGACCTGATCTGATTCTACAGGAGACTGCTTGTTATTTGAATCTGTCAATTACCTCCAGCACATCTGATTCATGTACTGGATGCCTTTTTTCCATGGCATTCTCCCTGCTGGAGTGGAGTACTAGATTGTCCCTGAGACGATACCTTCCCTCTTGCATGACGGGAGTCACCTCCAAAGGCTGAGTTTGTCTTCTTCCCAATTCCCTTTTCAGTGCCCATGTCCCAGGGATTCCAGTTGCTGGGCTTCACTACCATCTAGTTTCATATCATGGGCCATGATGCCCCAGCATTGGAGCAGCTAGATGACCAGGAGTTCATTTGACTGGCAGCTGAAATCTTCCTGCACATCTCACAGCTCACTCAGGGGTAGGGATTGGGTGATTATCTTCGGCCCTTCCTCTTCCTGCTGTTGTGAGGGTTCTGCTTCCTCTTCATCCCTCACTAAGTGAACTGATTTGATCTTGGATTTCTTCTTATGTGTAGGGCAACTGCTGTTGGCGCAGATTCATCCTATGGTTCAGCTGCTGTTTGAGTGGTCTCGGTGCCTGCTTGTTTTCCTCCTGTTCTCCCTGAGGGACTGTCTAGTACTGAATGAGGTCTGGTAAAGAATAACCACTGCCCAACACACTGATTTCCTCCCTTCCAGAGATGTCACACCGTCCTCCTTGAAAACACACTGTTGCTTTATCAGTATCCTGTAGTTGTTCAGGGGTGAACTTCCAAACCATTGAAGCAGAGAATTTCCCCCAAAACTGGCCCATTTTCTCTGACATTCCATGCCACTCGTGACAATCCGCCCGTGGAGCAGACCTTAGAAACCTCTCTCCGGATTCTGAACATGGTGTGGGCCACACTGACTCTAGACGTGGTACAGACTGTACTCAAGAGACATAGCAACAAGACCATGCTTTTTTTAACAAGCAGAGGAAATCCAAAATTCTCAAAAGCTGGTTTAATGGCATGGTTTATGACAAAGGGCATAAAAAGCTGGAGGAAATTACCTGCCCCTGTTCCCCCACAGACTAGGTACAATTTAATGGACTTCCAGAGGTAGGCCCCAAAGGAAGGGTAAAAGAGCATTGCTGAACACACATCCCAAATGTCCCTCATTGCCCCCCACATGTCATAAACTGGTCTCCCCCAATACAGCAAGACAGCAATCCTGATCCCTCTCTCTCCCTGGTGTGAAAAAAATGCCATGGTGGGCACACAGGGCCAATACACGAATATATACAGGGTTAGGTGCATGTGAACATGTGAACCATGTGAACAGACCAAACAACATTGTGACTATTGACTCCCTGCCTAGTACAACAAATGCTTAAATCTAATTTGTTTCAAACAGGTCTGGTCAGATCTGATTATCTCAACCCTTTGGGCACCAAATAAAGCTATTGAGATTTATGATTGGTGTTCTCCATGCACTGTTCATTCACTGCTTCCTCCCTCTGCCCTGTGACAGGCTAGGGAGGAGAATTGGATGCACAAAAGGAAAAGATTGCAGGTTGAGATTAGAAGAATTTACTGGAATCAGCAGTGAAGTAAGAAATGAACACTAACAGCTACAATATTAATAAAAGGGTGTACAAGAGAAACAATTCACACTACACTGGCTGGAAAACTACTCCCTTGCCCCTGCCCCTGGTAGTGAAGTAAGGTGGTATAGAATAACCCAATCACTCTGGCTACTCCAAAAATTAACCTTGTCCTGGCCAGAACCAGCACAGCTACTTAATACAGATGAGAAATACTTGAATTTCTACCAGTATTTTTACAGGTTTATTTTGGTGGGGTTTTTTGGCAGAAATAGGTTTATGGCTTAAATTTCATTAATAATAATCAGTTTGTGTAATCCAGTGATACTCTGAACAGTCATTTTACTCTGCATCCTCTATGATGTTAAATAACAGTTCTAATGTGATGAACACATAGGTAGTCGTAATCATAAGAGATGTATTCTTTTATAACATTTAGTGGTTTGTTTTTGAGTTGCTAAGCATCTCAGAATATTGGAATGTTAGTATTAGGTGTTATCCTTTCTTTGTATCCTTTCTCTAGGTTTGATAGGGTGATTGTACAAAAATACCTTTCACAGATACATTTTAACTTATACTTAAAATGCCTGCAGTAATACAGCTATGTGAAATAGTGTCTCCATCTTGTCTGAAAGAAATAACTTGCCTGTACTGTGTAGATGCAATTCAGTGTGCATTTTTAGAGCATAAAAACTCAAACTAAAGTAGTTTTACAGACCTCATGGTATTCAGTGGTTTTGAATGACATGTTTTGAGCTCTGTTATTCAAGAAATAAGTGAATAGCCAGGAATGGATTTGGTATAAGGTTTATTTGAACTGCATTGTTATCTTGAGTTTGCCTTTGATTCAGTGTATTTTCTGTTTAGAACTGCAGCATGGGTGAAAAGCACTTCCAGCTGTTTGGTATGGTGGTGTGGTTTGAGGATCAGGTATTTGCTTACATGAATAAATAATACAGTAGTGAGTTGCTTCTTCACTTAAAATAACTTAATATTTAACTGTGAAGACAAGCCTAAATACATTAAATATGTTTTAAAATTAGTGCTGGTAGTTGCAGTAATTTTTCATTTTGAAATGAGGATGTTTTGGGGCTTTTTAATGGTTGTTTTTCTGGTAAGGTTCTCAAAACTGTAGGTAGCTGGCTTGTATATGTAAGTACTAACATGCTCCATTGTGCTTATTTCCCTTGCTTTTGTCTGCCAGTGTATCTTGATCTTATTTGGACTGTGACAGATCCAAGTTCAATTTCAACTTCACATGTTTTTGTTTAGTATGATAAGATTCTTGTTTGTTAGATATGTCTTGACCTGAAGTTGTCTTAATGTTTACTTTGAACGTTATGACATAGGATGCAATACTTTATAACAAAAACTTCTACTAATAACTTAGTGTTTCGTGGTAACTAATACCTAATCAGCTGTCCTAGTTCACCTGTTACTGAAAACCCTGCAGAAAACCTGTAACAGGTTTTTCTTTTTTTCCCATCTTCAATCTCTGTAACCCTTTTTGTCCATTTCTAAGTTGTTCTTACAAAAGCTCCTGGCCAAATGACCGGGTGCCTTCACAGATCCATTGCTACCAGCCCTGAGGAGATTGTAACTAGATAGGAGCACATCTTTTTCAGAAGTTTGCCTGAAACTCCAAAATATGTCTCTGTGTCCTGGCTGTTGCATCCTTGCAAGCTTTCAAATTCTTCAGCAGGTTTTTTTTCTGGTTCAGATTTCTCAGCTACTTGTCTCGAAAAAGTTTTCTGAAGTATTTGTGACCTTTATAAGCTATTTATTCTGTAAGAGCATGGAAGCAGAAATCCTCTTCCAAGTGAGATTAGAAATCTTAGTGAAAAGATTTACACATTGCTACTTCCGTAATTTTTTGTCTGTTTTTTTAGGGTTCTTCTTCAAATTAGTCCTGGAAGTTGCAGTTAAGGTTATTGGAATACAAAAGCTGTTAGAAATTCTGTGACATTTTATTCTTTTGCAGTAAAACAAATCAGACCATATCACTTCTTTACTAATAAAGTCAGCATCATCTTACTTAGATCATTTCTCCAAATAAAAAAACCAAGCACACCCTTAAAGTAAAAGAACTTCCCAGCCCATTTTCTCTACTTTTGGGAAAAACTTACAGACTTTTGCCTGAAACATAGAATATCCAGGTTGACCTTCTGTGCCCGGTTTGAAGTGGGTTTAAAATCTGGATCTTCATTACTGTGGGCAAACATCCTGCATGAGATCTTGGATCCATAGCTTTATGCTCTGCATCCAACTTCTTTGGTGCTTATAGATGCGTTAGTCTTGACTGAATTTGTGGGCAGGGATCTCTGAGGGTTTAGTGGGGATACCTGAGAGAAGGGGGAGCTAAGATTGAGATATGGTGGTCCAGGTTTCTTAACAGAAGGATATTTGAAGTGACTGTTAGTACAGCTATAGTAAGTTGAAATACTTCCATTGCAGAGATTTCTCACTGTATTGGAATGGAGGAACAACTTTCTGTTAAGTGGAAGTCATATTTAAAATTAATTAACTCATATTAATCAGAACAAATTGCCATATAGTATATTTGTATTTAAGTGTTTCTATGTGTTTCTCTGGAGAATAAGTGGTAATATTTCCTAAAATCGTATTAATAAACTAAAGGATATAGGTCTTAGTGCTTCAGAAGAAGCTGACAAGTTAAAAATCAGTTATGAGCAGACACATTTTTAGATATTTTTCCACTCTGCTGTGGGGATGTTAACAGCACTGTTTTACGTTTCTAGTACAGCTCATTTTCCTTTCTAAATCCTCAGCAGGATAGCTGGATTTTGTACAGTACACTTATATTTGTGGCTTCTTGCACTGGTCTCTTCATAAATGAAGCATGGCCTATACCCTCCCATCAAATTTGACACAGTAGCCTATATATGAAATCCGTGGGCTATAAAAATCCATGGGTTTTGTTCACAGTATATTTTCCAAAGAAAGATTGAGATTATAAGGAAAAGTGTAAAATATGAGTGTAGGAGATTAGTGTGGAATTTTTGGCCTACATTTGCCTTAAAAGTTAAGGAAAAAAATGTCCCATTTTTTAATACTGGCTGTTTGTCATCCAGTATCTTGAAGTGGAAAAGTTGCATTTGTGTGCTCATAATAAATATTAGGTTCCATAGTGTAAATTGCATTAGAACTCACCTATCTTCAATTTTTGTTCTGTTAATGTTGTGAGGTTTTTTCTTAAAATGGTAGTTAGGCATTTGATCATCTTAATTTGAGTATTGTACTAGTGAGTTGTCAGGTTGTATTGGGGAAAATGAAAAATACTGTCTGTCTTCTGTTCAGAGTCTGCATCTGTGGACAAGTCTGTATCCCATTCTTGCACAACTCCTTCTACATCTTCTGCTTCTGGACTGAATCCAACTTCTGCGCCTGCTTCATCTGCTCCTACAGTTCCTGTTTCACCTATCCCACAATCACCAATTCCTCCATTACTTCAGGACCCAAATCTCCTTCGACAGCTGCTGCCTGCTCTGCAAGCCACCTTGCAGCTTAATAATTCTAGCGTAGATATATCCAAAATCAATGAAGGTAAGGATTCTTTAAAGTTCATGTAATCTCTCATTTACATACATTAGTATATTATTGCATACCAGGCTGTAGTAAATGAAAGCCTTATTTTAATTGTAAAGTGAATGAATGAATCCCTAGGTAAAGTGGAGATTTTTGTGCGGTTTTTTTTTTCTGTTAAACCTTCTCAACATTTAAGATTTTCAAATTAATAAATGTTGATGTACGTGAGCAGTGTAATTGAAACTGGTGACTTAATCACTATATCGGTGTTTGTCTGTTGCACAAAATTTCGTTAGAGCTCTTTGTTCTTTTGTTTCGTGCGCTGCTCTTTGTTTTCTGTAGTTTGTGCTGCTGTTCTATTAACGTGTGTTGCAAATAGTGAAACTTCTAGGGGTTCTTAAATCTTGTTGCCTAACAACTTTTTTTCTTTAGTGTAACAAAGAAAGCCTCTCTGAATACAGGTAGCGTATCAGTAACTTTGCTAGCCAGTGAAATTTTGTACATTTAATCGGTGCGTCCCTTAGATTTTTGTTTCATTGGCTTAGGTTATTAGAAGTCAGTTTGTCACTTACCGATAGCGCCTTTTGCTGCAAGAGCAGGTAGAGTTGATGCACTTTGATTGCAGTTTTATATAATGTGTCTGCATGTGAAAGGTTACTGATAAAGTGGTGTAGGATTTTTTGTTTGCTTCTCGTGCAAGGATCACTGATTTAAATAGGAAGTAAAATTGGCATGGAGAGCTGAGAGCTAATTGTCTTTAACTTTCTGAAAGAGCAAATCAAGGGAAATTACTTACAAAGGATTCTGTACCTTGCAATTATTCATCAGAAAAAGAGGTCAGTTGCTTCCTTTTAATCAGCAAATATTCTGTCTTCATTCAGTACTAATGAGTGAGTAGGTCACTGGTTTCTTTTTCTACGCAGGGAAAGTTTTTAAAACTGTAGTGCACTAGGTTGGACTAAAAAAAGAAGTGTTATGGTTGTTTTGGTTGAAAAATGAAAGGTCCACTCACCTCCAATTGTATTTTATTAGAAAGCTGCCCAGTGAAATTTCTAGTAATTTTCTCTTGCCATGTGAGCAGCAGCTCTGTATGTTTTGGAGCAAGAGTGTTCAGAATTGTTCTGATGCCATGAGGGCCTGCTGTGTCCACGTGGACAGAGTGACTTCACCTTGCATAGCAGGGCTGGCCTTACTGTGTGCACGATTCAGAGTTACTCTATGCTTGTGCTGGTGAGTCAGTTTTTTCAGGAGTGTGCATGGCTGGAAGGTATGTTCAGGAAGTATCCCACAGAGCCTGTAGACCTTTTTGGAAAGGTTAATTCAGAAGCTCCGAGTTCAGGGTCTTGTCATCTCATACTGCAAGATGCTCTTCCTGTATTGTGCAGTTTTAAAATGGTTTAAAATGATTGGTTTTTTTACTGGTGGGGAGTTGACATTGGACAGCTAAACCCAGAACAGATAAGGGTTTTTTTGTTAGTAAGAAGAAACATGGATTTTTAACCTTCAAGAGATTTGTCTTCCTCTTGAACATGAAGTCTGCCCCCCATCTTTTTTATTGAGTTGAAGGGATTCTGCTTTTTGCTTTTTTAAGAAATCATTGTAGAATAAAAAAATCTTCACACATGTTGTGCTTACTACAGCAGCAAATTGAGCAAATTTTCTCTTGCTGTTTACAAGAATTATTACTAATCCATAAGGTCAACCAGAAGACTCAACGTTATTTTTTAAAAGAATTTTTTGTTAAGTCTATGTCTTAAAGTTAAAACTACTAAAGAAAGGGCTTGCTAGACATTTCAAGTCAACTTGAAATCAAGTAACTGAAGAACAGTTCAGGTGGATTTTTGGTCATGGTAGATATGGGAAATACATCTGAAAGAAAACATACCTTAAATGTAATCAGCCAGTTTCAACAGTTCGGAGTGGTGTTCTAGAATTGTCAGTAAAACAGAATGTTTGTTTTCAGTTTTAACAGCAGCTGTGACACAAGCCTCTCTGCAGTCTATACTCCATAAAATTCTTACTGCTGGACCATCTGCTTTCAATATCACCTCCCTAATTTCTCAAGCTGCACAACTGTCTACGCAAGGTATTCAGAGTTGTTTTTTTTTTTCACTTACATAAATTGTTACACAACATTTTAAAAGGGCTGATACAGTTGTGGAATCTGTCTCTTGTCATATCTTTCGCTACACAGTGTGGAGAACGTGGAATGACTTCTTTTTCCAAAGATAGGAAAAAAAATTTTATTGAGCAGCAGGAACCTGACACACTACTAAGTAAACATACTTCTGTGTCTCACCTTTTGGGATTTTCTTTGTATGTTAAGAAATTCTACGTGAGTGATGTGAAACTTCTGGAATTAGGTGTTACTTAACAGTATAAAACACAACTCTTTCTTACTTCAACACCCATCATGTAGTACTGTGCAACTGTGACTCTTGGGGAGGCTTTAAATTCTTAAAAGAAAGTTTCCTCTGTCTGGTGGAGACTTTTTTTTTCATCTTCCAGGCAAGATACTCTTTCAGGTATTTCCAGTATGTTCTGGCTTGTAACTTAATTAAAAAAACCTTAAGTTTTAAAGTTTGGAAACTTAAACCAAAACAATAAATGCAATCATCTTACTGAGTAGGTAAGCAGTGCTAATGGTAATTTTTAACGATGGGTGAGGAACTGTTAGTATATGCCTAGAATGGATTAATAAGTTTTTATATAAACCCTTCATGCTTTCTTTCGGTTAAATCAAGTTGAGCACTCTAAAATAGGAATCACATATGATTTATTCTCTACATGTGTAAAAAGCATTTCCAACTAGCTTCTTCTCTTTCCCCTCCCCTGAAATTTTAGATGTGGGGAGTTTGGGGGAAATGCAATTCCTTAGCTAGGATTGTTGTTGCACATTAGATTGTTCTAGTTGTTCACAGTGAGCATATATGTTTGTGTATCATCTAATGTAGCATACTGCAGAGTACCAAAAGAAAATCTAATTCGCATTTACAATAGTACATGATTTTATTAAAAGCATTTTTTTTTTCCTTTACAGCTCAGCCATCTAATCAGTCTCCAATGTCTTTAACATCTGATGCCTCATCACCAAGATCATATGTGTCTCCAAGGATAAGCACGCCGCAGACTAACACTGTTCCACTTAAACCTTTGATGACTACGCCACCAGTATCATCGCAGCAGAAGGTAAGCTCCTTTTGACTTAGGCCATATTGTAGTAAGAAGCCATTATACATAATATTGTTCCTATATATCCATGTGTTAACAGTTATATATAGGATAATAAAATATGTATGTTATTATTCCAAATAGAAACAATCAATGGAAGCAACTGCTTGACTGTATTTTGGCAGTGCAGCTCCAGCATGAAATCTAGTTTACGTTTCTTGAGGAAATTCTTAATGCTGGCCTCAGATGCTGTGTGGAGATATTACCAATGCATTGGTATTCTAGCATATTTAAATAGAAACAAAAGCATACTTCAAAGGCAACAACTGATACTATTATTTAGACTTAGCCAATAAAAGATGTTTAGAATGGGAGACAACTTCTTGGGGAAATTAACTTGAAGTAGTCTCAGATTTTGTTCAGAAGTGTTTTAGGTGTTTACAGATCAATAACGTAATGTTCCTTTCCCTTCCTGCCCCCTCACCTCTCTTCATTCAGAACTCCTTCTTGGGTCAGTGACTAGGAAATGTAAATTGAAGCTAACCTATAAACTCCTGAGGTTCTTCCTGAGAAGCATAACTGTAGATTTTGGGGTGAGACACCCCCACCTTCCTAAAATCCATCTTCTCTATCACCACTCCTGCTTGGCTGAGTTTTTCTCAATTTTCTGCTCACAAATGAACATCTGATGTCTTGGATGCATTTGAGGAATACTTTTCTCTTCAGGAGAACACATTACATTCCTCATTACATTCAGAATGCCTCATTTTCTTTCATCAGATTTTTTTCATGGGTACAAATTAAACCGAGTGATCCTCCCAGTTTCTTTTGATTGACAGTGATACAATGAATTGCAAAGCTTCATGTGTGTACGTACGAGTACTGGTTGTTACCTTGGTTTCTGGCCCTGGATTGCATCCTCAGTCTGTGTTCACATCCCATAGCTAGGTGGCAAGTAATGAAATTATCAAACAGCAGGATTGAGATATTTGGTACTTTCAAATCCTGAGATATGAAAAAGAATCTTCTTAAGTTGTGTACTGTCAATAACTGGAAGTAGATCTTTTCTGGTCTCTACAACCCAGAGATTGATTGTGAGTCCCCGAAGTAACAAATTTTTGTTCTGTAGCAGATACTTTGCCAGTTCAATAAAAAAATAACTGTCTTGATAGTTCTGGTATTTGCGTAACTCAGTTCCATGAGATGGGAACTTAGGTGGTGATAGCTCTGGTGTGAGCACGTCTGTTTTAGCAGCCCGTTGGGTATGTGAGTCAGGCTAGCTTGTCCAGTTGTATAGGTTGAGGCAAATTATGCCTGAGCAAGATGTGGTGCTGTGCCAGGACACACTTGGTTTTAGAGCACATGGGCTTAGAGCCAACAAAGCTGAACTGGCTCTGTGCAAGAAGAGCCCCGTACCAGATGCACAGGGGTTTGAGCTGGCTGTGGGATACAGTAGTGCCAGTGGGACAGTACCATTGCTTAGGACTGAACATGTCAGTGCTGCTCTCAGACTGAAGCTGCTGTGGCTGCCTGTGGGAGTGCTGTGTGCATGTGGCAGCTCAGGGGTCACACTCCAGGAGCCTGGAGGTCACTTTCTGCCTTTTGGCCATGCCTGTATTGTGTGATCAGAAACTGTTCTGAATTTCTGCAAAGTAGTAATGTAAAGCACTTTACACAGACCTGTCAAACTCAGTGAGAATGTTGCCTTTGGTCGATTGGTTTATTTGTTTTTTTGAATTTATATAGCCCTTAGTATTTTTTTCTGGTATATGTATTTACAGTTTTTGAAACACTTGGAAAACATGGAATAGTTGCGAGGTTTTGTGGTTCATTTATTTCACAAATCCCATGGTCCTTTTTTTCTTTTTTCTTTTTGTTATTTTTGCCAGCCAAGGAGCTGGTTACTTTACCAGTTTGGATCTGCTGCATGATTCCTTTACTGATGATGGACTTCCCTTTTGAAATTGTTCTGTTTCAACAGCCTTGGTGGTTTAATGTCTGCTCACAGGCTGAGCAAAATGCAGGCATTAATAGCAAAGTTGTTCATGTCATACATTTCATAAAGGTACTTGTGTAGTCTGTTTTCATAAATCAGTTTACGATCTGCTACTCTTTCACTCTCCTGAACTATATAGTTCTGTTTATTTCAACGGCAGAGTGATCTTACAATTATCTTGCTTTTTCCTTTTAGTACCATGGACTTCTCATGTGCTACTCAGACTTCTTTAGTAGATGGCTATTAATCTAAAAACCAGAAAGAACATATTTTCATTTTGATGATAATTTTAAAAGGTGACGAGTTTGAATTTGCATTAAGACACCCCACCCCACCCCCCCCCCCCCCCCCCCGCATATTTAAATGAATCAAGTTATGTCTTGAGTTTACTTTACCATCTGTGGTTTGTTTCATAGAAGTCTGTTTCTGAAATAGAGAATATTTCTGGAGGTTCAGGTGACCAGTAGTTAGTAATCTATACTAATGTGAAGTCAGCCAATGCCAGAGCTGCTGGACAGTTTGGGTTTTTTGTCTTTATGGATCCCTAGAAACCATTTTTTCTTTGCTCTCTCCCTTTTCTCTCAAAATTGTTAGCTTGATTTTGCGAAATGAAGGATAAATTTTGAAGCTTAACCTCTCTTGTACGTACTTCAAAATTGACTGATGTATGCAAAGCATTGGGCAAGATGAAGTATCTTGAACTTCATTTGCTGTAAATTAGACATTACTAGAGTCCCAAACTTCTCATTCTAATGTAGTTCAGAAATTCACAGGAAAGACTGTATCTTACTGCTGGTATTTTAATACCTTGGATTGAATGTGTAGTACAAAGGAAAAGCAAGAAGGTACTGATGACTATTTTTGTAGTCACCCATGAGTTTAGAACTTAGAGAAAAGGGAGCAGCAAACTGATAAATATGCTTAAGATTTTCTTTTCCATTTTTGATAGAGATGTTTTTAATATGCTTGTGTTGTAATTATGTTCTTGACACTGTGTAATGTATTTTCAAGTAGAAAACTCTTAAGTTTGTACATGAAGATTTTATTTGGATAATGAACACATCTGAGGTTGAAAATGAGCTCAGTGCTCAGATGGGAGATACAGTCAAAAATAATATTGAGTTGAACTGTTTTGCCTAATAAGCTTGCAGTATTTTGACAAGTCACATGGGTCTAAATTTGCTTCTATTATGTCTATTAATAACCCCTTCTTAGTAAAAAAATACCTTTCTGTCACAGCTGTGGAACTAGAATTTTTTTTAAAAAAACACCTTGTGAAGATAATAAAAATTGTGTCAGCAAAAGGCCTTGTATCAAAAAACCCTACAGGTGTTGAAACTGTAATTTCCTTGGTTTTCTCTGTTTCTTACACTTGTTTTTTACTGTGGAGGAATTCTAATGAAGTTTTGAACTTTCTAGGTTGCTACTCCAGGTGTTAAACAAGGACCAGCTTCCCAGGCAGCACCTCAGCAGCCAGTAATAGCTGACAAGCAGGCAGGTCATGAACCTGCCTCTCCACGAAGTCTTCAGCGTTCAAGGTATATTGAAATGCTTCTCTCTTCTGTCATTAGTTTTTATCTGCATTCAGTGTGTGTTGTATATGTTGCACTCTCTTTGGCCAGTTTATTGAACTGCTGCTATATTTAACTGCTGCTACTGAGATGTTGCAGCTAAGCACCTTTGTTACGTATTTAATGTGGTAGATTCTCCATTATTGGGGTAATCATTAGACCATTCTCACAGAAGCAGAATGGAACTCATAGTTGTGTTCTTTCACTCCGGTGGCAATTTTACAAGTGATTCCTTGTATTGTGATTTCAGAGTTTGGAGTTTCTGTCTCTGTGCAGTTACAGAATCTGTGATGCTTAGTGTTAGATGTTTGTAGTGTCTTGCTGTAGTGTAATTTGATTTTGAAATTAGCATGATTTTTTTGTTTGTCACGTGATTTTGCTGCTCTAATGAAAAACATTAAAATTAAGTAATTTACAAATACCTTTCCTTGGCCAGACTTTTTTGTCAACATTGCAACTTATTAAGATGTTGCATGGTAACAATATTTAACCATTGATTTACCAGGTGGGTTTAGAATCTGTATCTTTGAAAGTTTTCTTTTGGGAAGATGGACTCTTCGTAGTGTCAGATGCTCTGTTTTTTGTCATATTGGTTCCAGGGGCTGTAACCAAAGATGTGTCATGAGTCATGTCAGATGTGTCATGGAGTCATGGTGTAGAACTGTAGTAGGAAGAAGTTGACTTTTTTAGAGGTTCTGTAAATGAGCAGTTCTTAATAGCTGTACTTTTAGAGTGGTTGAATAAGGTGTGTGGTGTGGTATGGTATTAAAAAACAAACAAAAAACCAAAACCCAATACTCTTGCATTGTCAGCATACCTGAAGCTACACATGGTGGTGCTTTCCAGATAATCAAATAGTGAGATCCTTTTATCTGCCCTTCTGGGACTAATAACAAAGGGAACTTCTGGGTTTTTTTGGTGGGTGTTTTTGGGGGGTTTTTTTTGGGTTTTTTTTTGGTTTTTTGTTTGTTTGTTTTGGTGGGGTTTTTTTGTTTTTGTTTGGGGTGTTTTTGTGGTTTTTTGTTTGTTTGTTTATTTGGGGTTTTTTTGTTGGTTTTGGCTGTTTTTGTGGGGAGAAGAGATGTGTGTTTTGAGGTGTTTTGGGGAACTGGGTTATCTGTTGTGTGCTTGGCAGTCCTGTCCCAGAAGCTGGCTTTACTGGCGACCGTGGAGTATTGACCATTTTGAGGGTACAGACACAAGCAAGTCAGAAGTTTTTGAGGTTTTAATGTAGGCTGTTTTACAGACACTTGATTCTAAGCTTGGTTGGATTACAAGTCTATAACTCATTTATCTCTTTTAGGAGAATAAAGGCAAAGTTTCCAACTCCAGTCCCTAGCAATTATGAATGGCGCCATTTAAATTTTTCTGAATTCTAGTACCAAAGATAAAGTTACACTTTGCAGCAAGCTAAGCTTTTTTATAAGGAGTGGTCAGGTTTTGGGGGACAGCTCTCAGTCACAGGCCTGTTTGTTCTTTGCTCATCACTCTCTCTGCACAGGAAATCTTCTTAAGAAAGATAGTCTTCATCTTGGAGACCTTTACCATGGGTTAGAGTCTGTGAGTTGATGCTGGTGGGCGTTTGGCCTGCTAGTCCATACCTCACCCTTCCTTTGGGTTACAAGAGTTTGTACTCCAGCATGATCCTTACCTACAGTGGGTTGAGGGATCTGCTGTCCCTCTGCAAACCTTTGCTCCATTTGACATCAGCGTTTTGGTGGAGGAAGCTGAGTTTGCCCCAGCACTGCTGGAGCAGGGACGATGTGCAGGTAGCACACTCTCGTGGCTGAGGACAGGAGACAGTGGCAGGCCAGGGTGAAAGATACTGAGACAGTGCTAGTATTGTTCAGTATCCTGTGTCTCTCAAATTAATACATGTTTGTGACTCTGCTGTATTGTGCATCGTGAGTTCATGTGAGTTCATCGTGAGTTCGTGTTCAGTTCAGTTTGCTTTGGAAGTGTCTCGTTTGCAACAAGTGGAAGATTAAGGAATAGGTGAATTGGAAAAACCTGTGTGACTGGTATTTTCTTCTGTTGATTGCAGTGGAGTTGAATGAATTGATAGGGAACAGATGATTCCTTTGTAGGTGAAAGCAGTTGGTTGGATTGGGAATTGCTCTTGGAAGCAATTTTTACTTTTATAGGAGTGAACAAGAATTTAGCAAACTGAACTGTGGACAGATGGTCCAGAATCTTTTTAGCTCTGTGAATTAAGGGTGCAGGTTTTCTCCAGCTTAAATACTGATTAATTGAGCAGAAGTTCATCACAGCTGCATTTCCTTGGCTCATTAAAAGTTTTAAGTAAATGGAGGTGAAATTATTTTTGACTTGTTGGGGTGGAAACACAGTGTGAGAAAACGTGAGTAGCTATTGTTAACTTTCAAGAAGTAAACATTTCAGCCGTTTAAGTTGGGAAATTAACACAATGCAGGCATACATTGAGTCTGTCTGTTAGAGATGATTCCAAAGACACACAATCAATTATGGCTGTTTTAAATATGAAACTAAATTAGTGCTTCCATAATTAACAGTTTCATCAGGTTGGTAGTTTCTTTCTGTTTTCAGAAAGGACTGAGAGAAATTTTCCTTTACCTTGGGAAGGTGCTGTGAAGGGAGGTATTTCGTTGCATTTTTTGTAGGTTATAAAATTCTGCCATTTGTAGTAGTATATTTTAGAATCATCGTGTTTTAATACCCTTGATACAGATATTTTTGCCTCTCTGGAGGCATTCTGTTACTTGTGGCATAGTCAGTCTTTAACTCAGCTAGGGCAAGTATTTCTCTTTAGTGAAGCATTTAAAAATACTGTGGTAGTTTGGAACAGTCATTGCTGCATTCGTAGCTCCCCCTGCTGCTGACACAGCAGTGCTTATGATATTTTGTGACAGTATGCTTTAGTCATAATTAATATACAACTTCATTTTTGAGAAGCCCACAGATTTTATTCATTTTCTTGAAACATTTCTGATGTTAGAGTTTATTAATGAAGATGTTTACTAATGAAGTAGGAGTAGGAGAAGACAGGCTGATAAATGAAGAGGAGGCAAGTCAGAGGGGGAAATTTAATTCTAGTAGAGCTAAGGAGTAGATAAGGTTATGCCTGAATTCTACTTAATTAATAAAAGCCTGTCTCAGCACTATCACTATGCTAAATGAATGTATTGCTAAATGACGCTAAATAAATATATTGAAACTTAGAATAATTTATTTTGGAATGGAATTCTAGCTGCAGTCTACTTTGGTCCAAACTTAGAGTAGGACTGGCAAGTTTGAATTGCTAAGGGCATTTTTAGGTGATTTTTTTTTTTAAATATCTCAGAATGTCTTCTGATGCTTCACTGCCCTTATGATGATTCTTTTTTTCTCATGTCTGCTTAGAATTTCCCTTATTGCAACTTGTCTCTGCCTCTTGTGCTATCACTGTGCATCTCTGAAAAGTCTGTTCTCCCCAGAAGTAGTAAAAATCTGCCAAAAGATCCCTCAATCCCCTTTCCCTCAGTCTTCTGGTTTCCAGACTAAATAAACTTCAAGCTTCTTCTGATACAGCAGGTACTTCAGCCCCTTAGTTGCCTGTGTGATCCTCTGCCCCATTCTTTTGCTATAGCAGTTTAGTTCTTGTCCGGTTTTAGGTTTCCCACTACACAGTGCTCTGGATACGGTGAATCTCATAAGCTCTGAAAAGAGGGGAGGAATTGCCTTTTTTATAGGAGAAGTGCTTCATCCCTCTTGTTGGCTTGGTGACTCTCTGGCTTTGTTCCAGCAGGTCCAGTCAGACATCCAATTTGTTGGCTGTAATTCTTAATGCTGTAATTCTTTGCAAGTGTGAGTTGATTAGGGTAAGTGTCTGGGCCTTGGACTAGAGAGATATTTGCATTATGTAAGGAGCTTTTCAGTCTTCAAAGGGACTGGCAGGTTAGGTGGTGAATCAGAAGTCCTTTAAAATTTGGTTCTCCTTCATAATACTTTCTTCTTGCCTGCAAGTGATACAAAGTTTTAAGAAATAGACTCAATTTATGGCCTGTGTTGAAAAGCTTCTGCCAGTGGGAGAGTTGCACTTACACAATTTTGCACTTTAAAAATTATTTACTATGTCTCAGTACAGGTAGCGCCAAAGAACATTTAACTGTGAGGTACCATCACTGTTATGCTGAGTATGTTTCAGTAAAGCAGTCAGGTTTGCTGGCTACAAACACACTGCTCCTGTGGTACTTCTGTTCTCCTGAGTGCATTCAGTAAAGATGTACAGTGTCACAAAACCATGTAGATTGTGTTCTGACATGAGTAGTAAACTCCTCAAATCCCATATGACTGTATTTTGAGATCAGGACATCAGACATTGTTCTTAATGATTATTCTGGCACACTTCTTTTGAATAAACCTGTTTGCCTCCCATCTGATACATCATTACTGAAAATCTTAGGTTTGCAGCTGTTCTAAGGAAGAACATACATATATTTTCTATCTAACACCATTTAGGCACAGCTTACATCTCTTGAACAGCTCCCAGAGTTAAAAACCAGACAAACACAGAACCCTACCAAACAACAAAATCCTCTTGTTACATTGTAGCACTCATTTCCAATTAAAGTTAGAGGTTTGTAGAAGGGTGGCACATGTTTGGTCTACCAGAAGTATTTACTTGTGGTTTGAACACTTTATGTATTTTTGTGCCTGGAAGCAATGAAATTTTCATTGTTCATTTCCCTATAGATTCAGATATGTTTTTAAACGCTCACTTGCTTTTTTAAATTCTTTCTTCTAGTAGTCAAAGAAGTCCATCACCAGGTCCAAATCATACCTCTAGCAGTAGTGCATCAAACTCAACACCTGCACCACAGAACACATCTGTACGACCCACATGTTCATTAACACCTACGCTAGCAGCACACTTCAATGAAAACCTTATAAAGCATGTTCAAGGCTGGCCTGCAGATCACGCAGAAAAGCAGGTGAGTGCTCCTTTGCTTTGTTACCTGTCAGAGTGCATAATATGTAGCTTAAAATTCAGCTTTGTTACTCATGTTGCTTATTCTAGGAATTAAAAGTATTAAAACCCTTATTCTTGTCCTCAGCCAAAAGAGAGGAGAGAGAGATTAGGCCAGACCTGCAGGTTTTACATGTGTTTGCCTTCCAGTGCTTGGGTATTTTCAGTCTCACTTGATGTGTCAATGCTTTTGAAACTCCTTCAGATGAATAGCTATCCTCATAACTATTTTCATACTGCTAAAGTTCTGTTGAAATTTATGGAGAACATAGAGTTCAAGACTTTTTCATAATGATATTTTGGTTATGTGGAAAACATTATAAAGTAGGTACAGAATTAAACTACTTGAGAATATTCCATTATTTTAGTTACTGACATGTTAGTTCTACACAGTGAAAAAGAAACTGCCTTGTTTGTAAATTATTGTAGAATACTCAGACTGAATTTGGGCTATTTTTACATAATGGGAAATCCAGTCAAACTGCCATCCATATATTATAGCTAATTGCATGAAACCTGTTCTGTTGTAGTAATACAAGGAAACTGGATGCATGTCAGCTGCTTGGAATGTATTACTCAAAGGAACCATATTGGTTATTGAATCTAGTTATTTCCACAGGCAGCCATATCTGGTGCAGTCTGTTTGGGGTAATAATCTTACCTAGCCCAGTTTAATTTGGTCTTCTGAAGAGTTGTTGCATGCTGGCACAATTCTACACTGGAGACTTTCAGATAGTAACTTGTGAGATGACTCTCACAAGCACAGTCTAAACTGAGACCCTGTTAGGATTCTTTCTTCTGTTCACTGATTTGTTAAAGTTGGTTTTAAGACATTACCAACCTGTACTGAGTCAAACATTGAGGCATTGCTGCAGAGTGTTTTGGAAATAGTGTAGCACAGGCACTTACCTGTGGCCATGGTCTGTAGTTTTGAAAGTATTATTTTCACGGTGTACTGAATTCACAAGTATCTTAATATAGAAAGCAGATTTATGCAGTGCATAGGCTTTGGGGTCTTTTTCCCTTGCTGGTAATAAAGAGATCAAAAAAACTCAACTAGTTGCTAGCAGTGATTACTCAGTTGGGTACTTCTCCCTTTGTGCTGTATTGCCCTGCCTGCTATTTCAGATGATTTCACATGGTGGTCTTGTTTATAAACCAGTTTTGAATAGTAGCACTTGAGGCACTTAAGTGAGATATTTGATATAAAAGTGAATGAAAGTATAGGTGCAGTACATAGTGAAGAAGATAAGATAGATCAAAGTGGAGAGACTAAAAATCCAGTGCCTTGGTTTCTTCAGATCACTGCCAGATATATAGTGTAATTTGAACTTTAGGCAAAAGAGTACATGCCGGAGTAAACTGAAAAATAAATAAAGAAATTAGAAGAGTCAGGACAGGTATGTGCTAAAGCAGTTGGACTTGAAATGTGCTGTGCAGTAGTTAATAGCAAAAACATTCTTGAATTATAGCAATTAGCTCACAGAACTAATAAAAAGCACTTAACATGGGACACTGAAAAAAACTCAGTAACTGGAGTTGTGCAGAGAAGACATGGGCAGTTTTATCCTCCTGGAGACCAGGTTACTCCTGGATGTTAATAAACTCCAGAAACAAAAACTTTTAATGTAGGAATTAGAACACAAAATGCTGCTTTGAACTGGAGAAATGCCAAAAGTTGATGAAGACCTGTGCTAAGTAACATTCTTTTTGGGAAGGAAAATTAAGTGTACAAGTACCTAAGCAGATGTGGATGAATCCCAGTAGGCAGCTAAGCACCACACAGCCACTTGCTCACTCTGCTCCAGCTGGATAGGGGAAACAGTTAGGCAAAAGTGAGAAAAGTTGAGTTGAGGTAAAAGCAGGTCAAAGAGTAAAAGAGGGTGGGGGAAAGTGATGCAGAAGCAGTCACTACCAGCCAGCGAATGCAGTGCCAGTCCCTGAGCCATGGCAACCCTGGAACACTGCCCCCTCAGTTTTACTGCTGAGCATGGCACATGTATGGTGTGGAATATCCCTGAGGTCAGTTTGGGTCAGCTGTCCCAGTTTTGTTCCCTCCCTGCCTGTTGTCCACCCACAATGAATTTGCTAGGTGGAGAGCAGGTCAGAGAGAAAGGGAGAAACCCCTGATGCTGTGTTGTCAGCACTGGCTTGGTCACAGCTTCAAAACATGGCACCATTCTCTTCTCTGTGAAGAGGATTAATTCCATCCCAGCCAGACCCAGTGTAGCAGAGGATAACATTGCTAAACAGTAATGCTGTAGGGAAGGCTGTATTTTGAAACAATTTTTCCATGTGCCACTTGAAAGAAGTCCTGTTCCCTATTGCAGTGTAATGCACGGAGCCTCAGGTAATTATACTGGTATCCTTGGTGCTGTTGAGGAGCTCCCTGGAGTCATATGCAGTACAGTGATGACCCTGCAAGAAATGCACAAATTGGGAATTGGATAGGTCATGCTCTTTAAATTTACACTTCTGCTTATCTTCAGCTGACTAAGTGGGAATATTAAAGTAATGGAGTTGGTCTGTTAGAGAACACCTGAAAAGCGTTGCAAAGCTTTTTTTTGTCAGGTAGAAGTTAGCTAGAAAGAAGATGGCATTCACTTATTTTTGTCAGTAAGGATTAATGGGAAATTTAAGTCTGCCGTTGGAATAATGGTTGGAGACTTTGAACTACTTGAAAAAATTATTTCAGAAACTCCAAGCCCTGTCACGTATTATGTTTCAAGATGGTTGGGTAAACATTTAGGATCCAGAAAGTTTAAACTAGCCCTGCCTTAGCATAGGCGTAGGTTAGACAGTTTCTGGGCAGCAGTGTTGTTTATTTGTGATTCAGAATGGGCTTTTGTAGAGAACTTAATGTGCTTCTGATTTAATACTGCCTTTTGAAATTAGAGTGCTTTGCTGTTTCAAGAGACACTGATCCAGCAATTCTTTGGCTGCTGCCAGTTGTTTCCAATGCATGATTCAAAATCCTAACCTTTGTTTAACCACTGCAGGCATCAAGATTACGTGAGGAAGCCCATAACATGGGAAGTGTGCATATGTCAGAAATTTGTACTGAATTAAAGAATTTAAGGTCTTTAGTTCGAGTATGTGAAATTCAAGCAACTTTGCGTGAGCAAAGGTAAGTGTGTGCTCTGTGCTTATCTTCAGTTTTTAGGGTGTTACTAGGACTTCCATTCTTGCATTATTTTGCATGAGTTCTCTTTACTGATGACTGTAAGTACACCAGTACTTGCCATGTTTGCAAGCTGTCTTCCGTGTGTACATTCTGCCTGTTTCTCTCCACTAAACAGAAGCAGATACGCAATTTCTGTATCTGCTTTTACTTGGATAGAAAAGAAGTATCTTTGCAGAAACCTTAGTGCATTACAAAGAACTGGTGAGCTCACAGTATTTCAGCATGCTTCTAGAGTATCAGTCCATACATAATGCATAGATGCACGTCTGCACAGTTTATTCTGATCTGAAACACTACAGTTCATATGAGAGATTCAATAGATCTAAAGCCAGAGAAAGTTTGAACAGGTGTAATTTACATCACAAGTGAAGGAGAAATTAATGCTTGCTTATAGCAAAGTAGATTTGGCTTCTGAAGTCAGTGATAGCAGGTGTCCTGTGTATCATTTCAGTGATACACAGCCAGGCTTTTGAAGACTTTTGTGCAAGATTGGAAGCTGTATTCATAAAATACATGCTCAGAATATTCACCAGTAGTCATGATTTTGTTTCTGCTTCCATACTCAGTTTCCTCTTTCAATGATGTTATCCCAACTATTAAGTCACACTACAGTTTGAATACAGTGCTTCTGACCTACTATTTGAAGCCACCTTAATTGTGTTGCATGCTGTTAAAATAGCTGCATTTATTCTAGAAGCTCTTGCATTTTGGGAGATAGCGAAACAATCCTTTAGAAGCAGGCTATAGTATATTTGTAAACCTTTCCTGATAAAGAATTGAAAATACCCATTCTTTCTGAAGCTTTATTTCATAACTTCACTACATGAATTATGATTTCTGTAGTATATTTAGTGAATGGCTTGGTTTCTTACAGTTTTAATTTCCTAAGGTGTCATTTGTCTCTGCACATTTGATCTGAAGTAATGTGTCAAATGTCACTGTTCAGCTCATTAAATAGCACCTTCTTTCTTATTCACTTTGTATCCTTAAGCTGTCAATGGATAATTATTATTATGACTTTGAGCCTATAGTAACATGTATCTTTTATTTTTGCTGCAATCCCAAAGATGTGGAATACAAGGCATAAGTAACCAAGTTGATGGGGGAGGCTTTCGCAGAGGGTGGGATTATCAAAATCAGTACATTTAAATGATGTTACTATTTCTGTACTTCTGCACAGAAGAGTGCTACTTAAATTTCTTCCAAGAAGGAACTTCATCTCTAGATAAAGCACATACATTGTTTGAATCTTAACTGACAGCATGTGAAAAGGCACTTTTCATTGACTGGTATATTTTATATCCCCATGCCTTGAAGCTAAATACTACCTTTTCGGTGTCTCTATATTAATATATTATTTTCCACCTACTTTTCAGTAGAAAATTAATTTTTAATGAACTGGGCACATATTTGTAAAGTGTTCCACAAAAGTGCTGAATTGTTCCTTTTTCTGCATTTATTAAAGTTATTCAGCCTTCATAGAATATTTATATAAAACCTAAATTCTCCCTGAGTATTTTCTTATTTCACTGACATGTTAGCATTACACTTCAGCATCATGAAAAGTGGTTTCAAAATGTTAATTCAAAATTCTGGGAGAGAGTCCTGTGAACCAGATGTTTGATAGTCATGGTAATTGTTTTATGTCAGTTCAGAAGAAGAGAAAAAAGGTATAAGAAGTTGTGAGCAATATAATTTATTTTTAAGCAAGGTGTAGTTTTAACTTTTTATCTTGCATGCCTTTTAATGATGCCTCAAATGTTTTTGAGGTTGGAGCTTACCATAAGTAGAGACTACTGTTAGCCACAGAGGCAAATATTTTTAAAAAGCAAGTGAGAAGACTCAATTTTTTTTTTTTTTTTTAAAAAGAGCACTTTAGATTTTTTTACAATCTGGAAAACTGCATGACAAAGGCATAACGTTGTTCTCCAGATTATTCAGTTACCTTGGCTTACTTGCCAGTGTCCTGCTTTTTCTGGAAGCTACATTCAAGTGAAAAGCAGACCTAAACACAACTGTGTATCAGTCATAGTAGAAATACAGCAACTTACTAAAGTGTCAAACATACCAAGCCTTTGTGCATCTGCACATGGTTGTAGGTTATTGAATAGATTGGGAATTAACTTGATATCTGAATTTTTTAATGGGCTAAGGAAATTTCACTGAAATTGTAAAAATACTTGTGTAGATGCTTATTTAATACATCTGTATAGTGGAAAAGTTTATACTAATTAATTTCTTTTCTCTTGCAGGATACTATTTTTGAGGCAACAAATTAAAGAACTTGAAAAGCTAAAGAATCAGAATTCCTTCATGGTGTGAAAAATTGTAAACAATTGCACATGGTTTTGAGTACAGGAACTATTAAACTGATGCCCAGTCTTAACACTTTTGAGCTGCATTTGAGTAGACTTTGGACCGTTGAGCTGGGCAGAAAAAAAAGTTGACATGGGGAAGGGGACAGGAGGGAGTCAAATTCAGGGGAAAGATACAAGAATGATTTGTAAAACCCTTGAAATGTAGATTTCTTGTAGATGTATTCTTCACGTTGTAAATATATTTTGTAGAGTGAAGCCATGGGAAGCCATGTGTATCAGAGCTTAGACATCCAAAACTAATCAATGCTGAGGTGGCTAAATACCTAGCCTCTTACATGTAAACCTGTCTGCAAAATTAGCTTTCTTTTTTTTTTTTCTTTCTTTTTTCTTTTTCTTTTTTCTTTTTTTTTTTTTTTTTTTAGTTAATTTATCATTCAGAAATTTTTCATTTCCTAAAATTCAATGCAAGCGCCAGGCGATTTGTGTCTAAGGCTGCAACAGTTTGGGCAATGTACAAAATACCACGAAACAACTGTTTCCACACTTGCACCGAGTCGAGAGCAGTGCTTCTCCATTTCTGTTTTACAGAGAAATGTTTTTCATCTTCTGTGTTCCATTTCCCCGTGAAATCCTAAATCTGATTTTATCAGCTTTTTAATGCTTCTAATTTTCTCTTTTCTTAAGGCACTGTTGCTATGGCACTTTTTCTATAATCTTTTCATTCCTGTGTACAGTAGCTTAAAATTGCAGTGATTGAGCATAACCCACTTGTTTGTATAAATTATTGAAACGTATTTCCATTTGCACCCTGTAAGAATGGACTTAGAGTACTGCTGGGCATGTGTGCTGAAAGTACATTACTTGCTCAAATATAAGGAAATAGCCCAATGAACATGTTAACATGGTTGTGGGAGGGGAAAGAGGAAAAAAAAAAGCTAGTCAGATGTGAATTGTATCTGTTGTAATAAACATGTTAAAGCAAAGAAACACTGGTTTTCATTTCCTTTGGTCAACACATTAAAATTTGGTCTTTTTGGGGATTCTTTATTAGAACTGTTCTTGTTGAACATTTTTGTACTTAAATAATTCCTCAAGGAAGGTTTTGTTTAAAACTTGTAAACAAGAAAATATGTATAAAATATTTAAGGAAATATAAAATTCAACAAGGATGATTTAAGACACCTCCCCAACAGTTGTCATATGTTAACTCCTGGTTTACCTGTCTTGATATTATGACATTTCATTTCGAAGGATGTTTGTGTTGTAGCTAACTGTTTAAGTCTGGTGCTGACTGCTGTTCTTAACCATCACAAGACGCTGAATTTGTGTAATTGGAGCAACTCACCATTTGAAAATGGTGGAAAAGCTCAGCTTTGTATATTGTTTCCTAAAGTATATTAAAAATAAAAAAGAAACTATTGCTACTACAAAATAAACGTGACTTTTTCTTTGCTTAAAAATGACAGAAATCGTGATGGCAGTACTGGTTTAATACTTGTAGAGGTGTATATGTCACGGCAGTCTGTTAAGTAGGAAAGATAATAGGAGATGGATTAAAAAAAAAAGAACTTAATGATACAAATGTTGACATGTGAACATGTGATATTTTGTGTTTTGTTCCTAAAAAATAATTTCAGCACCAGAAATGGTACTCAATTTTTGTGTTGAGGGGGAAAGAGGAGATTTTTAAAATCAGGTTTTTAAAATCAGTAGAAGCTAAATGCTCTGATTTAACAAAACATTGCAAATGGAGCAAGTTGAAATACCTAACTAACAACAACAATGGGAAGTTGGGACAGATGAACTTGTAAATTTTACTCACTTTTTAACCCAGTATGTTCTGTTGTGTTTCGTATCATGCAGATGTTTCATTTTTCTCAGAAGATGGGAGTAATCTTGAATGAATTAATTGGAGCATACATTGTTTCTGCGTTTCTAGAGACCCAAGGCGGAGTGACAAAATTCTTCCTGAGACTTTCATATTTGCCTTGCATCCTATTTTTGGAAGTTGCCCAAGTGTAGGGAGATAGCATGTGAAGTGCATGGGAGTGTGCAAGGGATCTCTCACCAGTAGCTGTCCTTAGTTTAGGTATTTTGCTGTTTTGTTACTTGGCGGTTTCTATCTTAACAGATGTGCAGGGTCTGTTTTCCATGAGCTTATTTTGTTTCCTTTTGCTTGTTATACTGCCCTCTATAACATCCTGTATCAATGAGCCTCAGAAGTTAATTTTATTTTTAGAAAAGTATTTTGGATTATTTTTTTTAATTTTCTATTTTGAATTAATTTTCTTATGTTTAACTACTGCCTGTTGATCTTGCAGTTTTGCAGAAGAGTGTCCTTTCCAGCCTAAAAAATGCTAGTCTGTTTATCACTTGAAAACTTTCATAAAGTACAAGTGGTCACAGATAATTTGGGAGTCACAAGGATTAATGTGCCACTTTAACCCTCTCAAACCACCTGCATAAATACCCATCACACAGAGACTTGCTCTTTCTTCAGGTGATGCCCTCCCTAACTGCAGTAAAGGTGGCTGCTTTGTCACCATCTGGTGACATGTCCACACCTTGTTGGGTTCTGTATTTGCTCCCCATGCAATAGCTTTCCTCCCCATCCCCCATACCCTTCCAACGCCTGGAACTGTTGTTAGCTGAGGAGGGACAGCCTGACAGACTTGTCTAGTACTAGACAAGTTAGGGAAGAGAATTGCAGGCACTGCTTTAAAGTCAGCATTAATTAGAGCGTGTAGGTTAGGTTAAGGTCCTTCAAAATGGCTTCAGTAAGATGCAAATACAGTCCTCCTGGCCTTACTGTGTGATCTGGAGACCCTCTTTGGCTTCTGTAGTGTGCCAAAGCCAGCATTCTGTAAACTCCTTGGGGAAAAAAACATGGATTTTTCTCCTCCCTATCAAATCTTGTATATGAAGCTGGACAAAAATGAGCAGGTGTGCTGAGACCTATTACAAGATTACCAGCTTTTCATTAATTATCCATCCTGAAGCTGATGCTATCCCTCATATTGGTTAATTAAAGGGGTTTTATTGAATTGCTCTGCACCTGTAAGTCAAATCAAGTGAAATTCCCCTGAATCAAACCTTGTATTTTTCCTAGGCAGGTGTTCACAAGGTGTTTATTGGAGCTGTGGGATGTGTTTTCTGTATTAATTACTTCATAGAGATGGTCATGGAAAAGTGATGACAAACTGGGGAAAGAACTGTTGTTGCATACGTTGCTTTTGATTTTCTTATTATGCATTTGCTAAGCACCTGTTTAGTATAATAGAAAAACAGCCTTCAGAATAACTGAGGAGGTGGTCTGAGCTGGTACATCATACTGCAGGCAGTGCCATTGGGCTAGTAATTTGTCACATGTTGTGGCATGCTCAAGGACTACAGCAGGAGCAGCTTAATATGATTATAAAATGACATGACTGATCAAGGAATTCCTGTTTCTACTTCATTGTTGAGGCACTCTAATTCTTCTGCAGGTGAATTATTCTTTTCACTGACCCTGATCTGAAGGTGCCGTGGTCAACTGCTCAATTTGCATCAACTTTCCCTGCCTACACTGATCTTCTGTAGCAATGCAATTTTCTTTTCAGACTCGTTTCATTAATTGCATCTCTTTGGCAGGAGCATCTTATCTTTTGGTGGATGCTGGTGCTGTCTTTACTGTTGCAATTAAAAATATGTTCAGAAAGAGTGTATAATTGAGGCCGGGAAGAATTTTTAAAATATCCATTCTTTTTTGGAGCAGCCTCATTGCAGGACTATCCCCAAAGATACATGAGAAATACTGGGTAGTTGTGCCATGCCTCCTAAGTCAGTGGGTCAAAGAAGGCCATGTCTTACCGTCACCCTTTCATTCCAGTGTCATCTTGCCTGTGGTGACAACCTGAGGACTTAGCAAAGCAGAGTCCTTTGTTGCTGTGAGTTTGGCTGCCATGGGCAGTACGGTATGTTCTGCTGCAAGGAAGGAAAGATTGATGTACCCTGAGCATCACTGCCATGGTGCCTCAGGGACTCGTGAGTCCACTGTGTGTAAGGGGCAATCACTTCACCTCTGTATCAGCACACAGCTGTTCTATATATAGTTAAATATCAAGTCCATTCTTGGAATTAGCTGGATGTTTCTGTGAATATGTCATGCTGATCCTGGAATAATATTTTGTCCTGACCAAATCAATCTCATTTACATGATTACAAGATTAGAAACAAGATTATAATGAGGCAAATCTGAATGTTTTAAAAATAATGCCTCAACTTTTGGAAGTTTGCAGCAGAGGAATGTTCTGAGCTGAAGTGCTATCACAGTGACATCAGCACTACTCTTCTGCCCATCATTGCTGATTAATGATATGTGGAGGTTTCTTTTGTTTTGGTTTTCTTATTTGTTTTATATTATTTCTTAAGAATTGGAGCTTTTGATATGGGAGGAATATGTTTTGTTGCCTAGCAAAAGGAAAAATATCCTTTTTTTTGACAGTTGTTGTCCTGTAGTCAGTCAAGCAAAAGCTTTCATTTGCAATTGAGATCCATATAGACGGTGACTTCTGCAAAAAAATATTTTCAGCATTCTTAGTTTTGGATTCCAGTTACGCATCACTCTTTTTAGATATCTGTTAAGTTTATCTTCTGTCTCTGGTCTACAGCAGATGCTCGAAAATATTGTCTTTCATAGCTGTAGGCATCAGCTTTATCCTCCTAACCTCCACAGATGCCTGTGTTGCTGCTGCTATACTAACCCATGTGGAACTGTTTCCTAGATGCTCCTTGATACAGACTTCCGTATTTTCCAACTATGGCTTTTTTGTTTGGGGAACCTCTCTGAGGGAAAGGACTGATGTAGACTCTCTACCACTCAGGGCTCCAGGTAGCTGAGAATCTGAAAGTCACAAAGCACTTTTCTCCTCCCTAATAAAGGCACTAACCCACCTGAACTAGGACTTTCTAGAGAATGAGCTGTCAGGTTCTGTCTCCCATGGGAACTAGGAACATCCTAGGAAGGATGTTGCATCCTGGACGGTCCTCCCTGGAGCTGATGGGCTGTGTGCAGCTGAACTACGCAGCTTCACTTACCAGAGTTAGCACAGCAGGCTTGCAAACACAGCTTGAATGACCTGATCTTTCCAGCAGTTACTCAGTATGTGTGACAGTATTTTGTCACCTTCTGTTAGTCGCATGTGCCAGAGAGCATTTGCAAAGGGATGCTACCTACTCCTGCATGCAGCACCATGCTCAAAGACTGATCCCTGTGCTCCAGTTTGAAATCTCAGAATCTGGGCTGTGTAAAAGTGTGTTAATACAGTGATGCTCAGAATGTTAATTCAACCTCATCTTCCTTTTCGCTGTCTATTACAAAAAAAATCACTCATGGAAAATACTGTCACAGTCCTCTGTATCAGCAGCTAGAATTTCTAGAATTTAAGTGCAAGTCACAAATTGATTCTCCTCATTCTCCCAAATCTGAAGTTGGCCCGTGGAGATCAGTGTTGCCTTAGAGTTCTGAACAGCCTGGACAGTTCTATTGCCTGGCCAGGCAGATTTGCTGACAAGGTCTTACTTACTTCTCTGGGCAAAATTCTGTGGTTGCATCTTTTTTCAGTGTAATTGGGATGCTGTGAGAATTTGACTGAGGTTTGTGTTCTGCTGGATGCATCCTCATTAGTAGCAGAAAACTTACCCTGGGAAGAGTTATTTGGTAAAATGACCAAAGCCCATGGCAGATGGTGCTACAGATTGTGAATGTGTTGTCAGCAAGCCTGGACTACGTGATGGTGCCAAGGAACTTGGATGTCCATCATTCCACCCAGGTTTCTTTAGCTGCTGCTCTCCATCCTCAGAGCAAAGGATTTTTTCTTGCCCAGTTTGGAAGGTTTATGAAACTTGTTCGTGTTGGAGATTCAATTTCACAGTAAGTCTTCTACTTTTTTTTTAAGTGGAAAAGCTATTAAACCACTGACATGTCCCTGTCTTCACTTGCTAAATAA